CAACTGTAAAAATTCTTAGGACAATATATATGTCAGGGAAATACTAACTTACAAACGAATTACAAATAATTAAATATTAATAAAAATAATAATAAGAAGAATAAGAATAAAAAGCAGCGATATTAAAGAATGACGTTTCGACGGCTCCATGCCATCATCCTCAAATTTAAATAAGATACGTTATGTGAGTTCGTTATATAGTGAATGTAATAGTAATAATAATAATAATAATAATAATAATAATAATAATAATAGCAAATAGTAATAAAGTTAATAAATAAGCTCTTGTATAGCGCTTAAACATTTCTGTCCTGATCGCTTTACAGTGAGAAAATCCTAGAACATTCAATACTTTTTATAAAAGAGAATGAAGCTAATTGAAATAAACACTGAAGTACTAATTATAAAGGTGAATAAATTTAATATATACATAGAGTAAAACTTATAATAAGAAATTTCAAATTATAAGCTCGTTTAAGAAGATGGGTTTTCAATTTTAACATAAAAAATGTTTTTTATCATTGATTACAATTGGATTCAAGTCCGCTTGAATTTGTCGCTGGAAAATTTCTAGCTGGAAGCTATTTTTTTTGGTGGAGTATCTTTTCTATATCAAGAGTGAAATGGCTATAGAACACTAGGGTTTGGAAACGTATCTGCGTACAAGAATAATATGTAAATATAGTACTTTTCACTAGTAAGGTAAGGGTGAAATATATAGCGTTCGATGGAAGTTAGAAAAGCAATGCAAAGCATAGTTTGTATTTAGATAACTCTATTGTTAAAAAGGAAAACATCGAAGACTGTTGTTGATGTTATGAAACAAAGTAAACGTTTCTAAGACTCCTATTCTCGTACTCGCATTCTATTGTAGTAAGAACTCTTCCTTCTTTCACGTTGAGCATATCATTTGATAACCAAGCCAGGTCTGTAAGAAAAGACCTGCTTTTTTCCCAGTCGTCCTCGCCAAAGAAAACGAATAATGGTTGAACCTGCACAAAGTGGGGACGCAGAGAAAGATGGCAACTTTGTCCTTCCTGATGTGAAGTTTATATGAAATAATTCATATATGAACTGCGGTTGTAGATGAAAGTGAAGAATGATCATCGCAGTATATTTTGAGTAGTATATTTTCGCAGTATATTTCATATTCCAATTGCTTAAATTGGAAAATATACTGCGATGATCATTCTTCACTTTCATCTACAACCGCAGTTCATATATGAATTATTTCATATAAACTTCACATCATTTCACTCCTCACGGGAAGATATGAACTCAATTAAGTGGCCTCGCTCCCAATGTGTGGCTTCATAGCTCAGTTGGTAGAGCATCGCACCGGTATCGCGGAGGTCACGGGTTCGAATCCCGTTGAAGCCCTGATTTTTTTCAGGCTTCTTCTTTCCAATTGCTTAAATTGGAAAATATACTGCGATGATCATTCTTCACTTTTGTCCTTCCTATCACGCTCGAAGTTCGTTTCCAGCGCTCCACTCGCTTTTATCGTCGATAGCGCTCCCCGCTCAGGGAAAGCCAGTGAATGAGGAAGAGAAAAGACTGAAAGTCAAAAATGGTCCTTTTTGAGGTCCTGAGAAAGCTTTTCGTTAACTGAAACTGTTGAATCTGTTATGGCAACACGTAGAAAAGATCGGACCGGCGATTGTCAAAGCTTGAAATTAGCTGATTTTTGTTATTGGCCCTCGTATTGTAACAGTTCTATGAGAGAACATATTAGAAACTGGATTGGAATGAGAGACCAAGTTTAATCCAGGGCAATAGCTCCCCTTAGAACCTGTATTTTGATCAGAAGGTTCTTATCACAACATAGAGCAGTGAAATGTCCCATTCCCTCGTAGAATTAGAGAGCTTCTGAGCCGGAGCAGAGAGTGGTAATTTTCTGGTGGACCTACCCACAAGTCGGGTTACGAAATTCAGCTGGGAGCAGTGTGAGAAAGTGTCACACGGTGGCTAACACGCGAGTGCGAAGAGTGCAAGCAAGCTCAATCTTCGCGCTGGAACTACCTGAAACTGTAAAGGAATTAGAAAATCTCTAACTCCCCGGAAACAAGTGGGGTCTAGTGTAGGGCATTGCTGAAGCTTCTCCATATTTAGCAACATTTTCGTTTTGTTTGGTTTGTCTGTTTGCTTGTTTATTTTTGTTAGTAACTTTGTTTTTTTGTTGTTGTTGTTGCTTTTGTTTTGTTTGTTTTTTTTGCAGCCCTAATAGGAGAGTAATAGAATTCTGTTCGTGTACTAATGCAAATGCTACAATCTGATCGGCTGAGCTACTCTGCACTATCAGCCAATAGTATAATTCTACTAGTAATCTCGTACCCAGATCTCACTCTGTTTGACGCTGAAAAGTGAGATCTCCCTTCCACCTGGCCGTGGGAGATCTGGGTTCCGGATTACGGTATTCTACTACTGTATACCATGAATGCAAATGCTACAGTATTGCCGCTTTTCATGTGACGTCATCATTTTCCAAAATAAGAAATAACCAATCCTGAAGTTTTAGTTTCATCATATGTAAGACCCTTTAATAACTTGATGTTTTGCAACGTTTAAGCTCGACAGGGTTGTTCATTATGTAACTGAGCATGTCTGAATTTCCAAGTTTATGCGTTGTGTGACATTAAAATGGCGGCCCGATAAGGCTCTCAAGAAGGTCAAAAGATGAGTTATTGCTCAAGTTTTTGCTAACTAAACAGTTGTTGCTCTATAAAAAGTGTTTATTTCAATGTTTCGGAGCTCTAGAGTAATAACATTTCGTTTCAATGGCAAAACTCGGTGACAGATGTTTCTGTTACTTTACGGCCGCCATGTTTGTGTCCCTCCGAGGGGCACAAACATGGCGAC